TTACAATAGTCTAAGATTATTGTAAATAACGAGACTAATTACACAAATAAATTATTGAACTCCAATTAAAAATCGAACAAAGGGACATTGACCTCCCATTCCTGAATTTTGTTCAGACTAAATAAAAATCTGTTATTCAACTCCAAAAAGTAGAAGAGCAGATTTAATTGATGAAGAATTAGTCAGTGGTGGGAGTTGGGCAATGAAATTTGTAGAATGGAAATGTGTGGTTTCACATAATCCAAAGCAGATTTTCAATGGACAACGGTGTGCACAGTATGATGGAGCATCGTTTGGAAGCCCACTTGTCTTCCTACATCCAACCTTGTATACCCAGGTTTAGTACAGCGAGTTCCAATACACAGCTGTGTTTACAATTCGCCACGATAATTCAATCGTACGTCAGCGAATACACCCAACCCAGGCGTTCATTGTCCTGTTCTACTGTCTCTTCACTCGTACACAGGCTTCAATTGATCGTCAGGGCTCTTCGTGGTTTCTTGTGGATAATTATTCTATTAAAATCCACTGTGGCCATTGAAACTATCCGTTGGAAACAAATCGAATTTAATGTGTGAGAATTCAGAGCAGATATTTCAACAAGTTAACAGATCAGACTGTCTAGGATAATTCAGATCCCTGATAGGATACAAAATTCAAAAATTAATCACCATAGGATGATAAAGCTATCACTCTGTCATTTTTCATTATTCCTCAAAGTCAATCAATGGGAAAAATAATTAATTACTCTATACAAAACTCTTATACTTCGTTATTGAGATCTGTACTTTTTCCCCAGTTAATTCTCAGCTGTTATCTCGGAATTGAAGATAGATACCGATATTTCTGTAGATACATTTTTTTTAGAGAAAAACGAGGGGTACAAAAAAGGTATCTATGAAAAAATCGCAGTTTTGTGTCAATTCCAAGATATTTGCGAGACTAGTCTCGAGTAAAAATGCATGTGTCCTATTGCACGATTTCGCAAGAGAATGGTAATTCGCGGATTTAGGTAAGAGAGGCCTCCGTGATAATTTTCTCGATAGTCATTTGGAGTAATTTTTTATTATTATTTACACTCTCATATTCTGGTGGAATCAGTCTTGGAAGGAGGTTAGTTTCGAAACCCCAACGGAGTCCTCGGGCATCGCTCGAGGGCCTTCTCTCACCTCTTTCCCCTCTTTCTGCCATCCTTTTCTCTTTCTCTCACTCTTTTGTACACTGTTTTAAAGGTGGGGAAAGAAAAAAGAACATACGCGAAGGAACGGTGAGTAAATGGTTCTTCTACCGCTGGGGGTCAATGTACAGGCAGTACGCCGTGACCGAAATCACACACGCTCATTGCAAAATCACTCAACAATGACTTTTGACTTGGATTTTTAGATTTTTTTGATATCACCAATTGGTCAATGACACAGTATCTCAGATCAACCTCACTCCCTGAAAATTTGAGGAACCAAGGCTAGATTTTCCCAGAGATCGTTCGACTCTTTGATAATTCCTGAGCTCATGATCTGCTACTTGATCTTGCTATTTGCGTCAAGATCGGGATTGAATGATGAATATTGTTGGAAAAAAGGCGTCGTGAAATGAGGAATGTGTTATATTTCTCTCTGAAACTGTTATAGTTTGGGTCAATGACCTTGTGACAGTAACAAAGAGACGAACAACGAAATGAATGGAGGAATAATCAAAATTGGCAGGAGCATTGATATTTCTATCCGCTTTCCCTTTCGACCTACTTGTGCTCGCTGAATCCGTGGCATTCTTTCGTTTATTTTCATTTATTTATTTTTTATTCCTTGTGCTCTCTTCATCTCGGTTCTCCGATCTATGAAGCAATAATCTTTCTGCTCGTGCATGGTGTCTAGGTGTCACCACACCCGTCAGAAATACTCGTCCCTCAAACATCTGAGAAACCGCATTTGCCACATTGACTGCTAGAAAGCCGCATACATCCGTTTTTGTATCATACAAAACAATCCACCATTTCCAGACATTGACTCTCCATTTATTTGATAGCACTTTGGATTTAGTACCACTTCAAATCCCCACAAATCATTCACCACCGATTTCTGTCATTTTTGGAGGAATCGTTAAAATCATATTTCAAGGAAATACTAGAATACTAAATTAATTACACACTAATTGTAGTTTTAGTCTTAGGAATGTCAATTATTTATATCACCCCATTGTTAATGTCGCGGATATTCAATTTTGCGGAAAAGTGATGTTCCTCGGAATTAAATATTAACCCCCGCGTCTGACGGTGAAATGTTTTTTTTTATTTTCACTATTCTGCTCACCTTGAGCGATAGTGCACACACAGGAAGCCGACGATTGGTTGACGGGAAAATAGGATTTTACATAAAATCGACTTTCCTCCCCCAAAAATCATAGAATAATTTCACCCCTGGGTTGGGGGTGAATTTATTTTCACTCTTCCTTCGGGCACTTGAAAGAAAATGCCCTTTTTTTGAAAATACAATTTTTTCAACCCTCGGCCGATATTCTCATAGAACCCGCCTCACCTGGGAAACGGAGAATTAAATTTTCAGATCGATATCAGTTTTGTCTTTGAAATACCGCGCCTCGTGGAAAATTCCACGCACCCTAGAAAAAGCATCTTCACGGTTGACCCAATTCTCACGAAAAAAAATGCCTCATTCAATGCTCGTCCTCCTCATACCAACTCGCTGTAAACTGCCAATGTCAACATGTAAATGTTGACAAATGCAACGACTAAAAATGGAGTAAAAACTATTGAATCGATCATCTCCTACCAGTGCAATGATCCAGTGCGGATATAGCCGGTCTCTCTCGATCTCCTAGTTTTTCCCATCCTCAGAATCAGGTTGAGAGCCCAAAAGACGAAGGAATATTATTATATTATATACCTGAGGGGGCCCCAACAGACGAGGGCGGCCCCACGGGTGTCGCAGAGACTAAATTAATGGTATACCCAGGGAATTCTTGGTAGTCTACGCGTTCAGGCTCTAAACCGGCCCCAGTTGTATATATGTTTATGTGTATCTACGTATATATGTTTATATGTGTACGGGACAAATCCGTCGCCCACAAGAGCAACTACAGAAGGTCGGACGTGATGATCCCATGAGCAGTGAATACATTAAAAAAAAAAAGCAAACAAGTAATTCTTCACTCGAAATTGGATGAATTTGGCTTAATGACACCGATAATAAAATCATTGACAATTGTTGCATTTCTCAACAATTCGTTCAATCCGGATTCGATTTGTTCCTTCCAATGAATTCGATGAGATTGATCAATGGCTGATGGCATCAGTGATATCAACATTTCACATGCATATTCATTTCACATGCTGGTCACGATAAAAGTGGCGTACGACGCGAGATTCAGTCTTTAAAAATTCAGACAACTCAATACTAAATTGATGAGTCCATGGGGAATTTAATGGAGCTATCATCTTTCAGGGGAGATAAAAAGTTTCTACTGAAAATCTGGAAATAGGCCAGTCGACGATCTCCAATGGACACTTTGCACCTTCGTCGCTTCCAGGAATTTAATTTTCTTTCTTTCTCTCCCTCCCTCTCTTTCTCTTTTTTCTCCATCTTTTTTTTTTTCTTTCAAACTGAAGAGGAAAAAAATGCTATGTTGTAGCGTCAGGTACGTACCTGTGCTGAAGGTATACGAATATCCCCTCTACGTTGTTTTCAACCCCCACTATGCCCCTGAAAACGGTACAAAGGCAATAACGAGGACTTAACCGCGACCTAAGACGCGCACCCGAGACCAACGTACCAGGTAAAATGCTCTCTGTCCTTACACCTAGGTGAAACCGTTCAAATTCCTTTGAAAATCCGACAATTACGTGTCATCATTTGCCCATTCATTTCCTCAGTGTATTAACTCATTTATTTACTATTCATCGGGAATGTCTCTGCTGACTAAAATATTTGTCTTACCCATTTTAGCACTTGGCTGACACTTCCTGAATGCTGGCAACAGCAGATTTCATATTCCTCTAGATACTTGTCCCTGGGGTTTACTTCCGTGCATTGATTAAAATTCAATGTCTATGTGGTATTTTTTCAACGTATCATTGATGAATAATAATCTGTAAAGAGAGACGAATGCGTGTCGGGAAAAATTCGCATTTATTGAGGTGGCGTCTGTCGCGATGAAGAGCTCAATCAAGTGGACAAATCTGTTCCATCGGTTTAGAAAATCATTTCGTCGATTCACAACTGTGAATTTCTTGTTCAACAAATAACATAAGAGATAATATATCCGAGTCAATAATACTTCCATCAATCCGAAGACAATTGTCGGAGAATTTCCTCCATTAAAACCCCAGTAATTCTGCTACGAAGTGATAATTAGTTTTCTGCAAATATCTGGAAACCTAACGAAAATCTTGATATTCTCATCACCACCTTTTCTCTAGCTCTCATCTTCACCTCCAAAAAATGTCTTATCACAAATATCGCTATCAGCTTCCCATTCCGAGATATCGCCTAAAAACGAGCCTCGAGAAAAGGCGTAGAAACATTTCATCGAGATTACTTTCCACCCAGTACATTTCCACCCTTTGCCTAAACAGCAACCATCACTCGTCAAAAATTCCTATTTCTCACTCGTGCAGCAATTGTTAATTATTGACATTTGAAATTTAAATAACTGGTACCTATTTAATATTTATTAATTTTTATTATTCATACTCGATAAATATGAGACAACAATTAGTTTAATTGAAAAATAATAATGAATAATTGAAAAGGATTTGATTGAAAAAATCGTGAGACCAAGTAAAACTGGCTGCATCCATGAAATCTCAAGGCATTTTTGACTCACGTGGCATTGTCCCCTCTATTTCCCCCGGAGTGGTCCTGCTCTTACTGCTCTTACTGCTCTTACTGCTCTTGCTTCTTCACTTTCCCCCTCTTCTTCTGGAAAGTATAGTAAAGCGATGGCAGCGCCGCAACGCCTGGTGATCCGCAGTAACGCGACCGCTTCCGTGGAGTGCAGTCGTTTCTGTTGTTCAATTAAATCGTAAAGCTCATTGCAACTCGCGCCGATCTCACCACTGAAATTTATAAAAATTAATGAAATCCACTAGTGAAATGAAGTACACCGTGTTGACTAGTGTTACTACGATATCCTCCCCTCGGGCAAATGCTAATTGCTGATGAATGAATTCAGCTTGAAATAATTATCGTGCTTGTATGTATCTCTAATTTGGAGATGTCGAAGTTTTGGTTTTGTGACGCGCATTTGCGCTGCTTGCGAAGGCTTTGCAGAGCGCCCAGCGGCGATTGATAAAATAAATAAATTTCTCACTCGATTTTTCAAATGATAAAAAAAATAAGTCGACGATAATAAAGTCCCAGCGATAATGGCCCTGTGTAAAAAAAAATGTTGAAAAAAAATCGGTGAATTATTGTGGCGGGAAAATAGTATCTCAGCGACGCGCATTTCTGTATTTTGTTATCGAGGGGAAAGGGAAATTGTATGAATGAAAAGATGATAATACCAGGTGGATGGTTGACAGGAAATAGGGAAAAGTGTAATAACCGAACACGTCAGAGTGATGACAACGTGATAACCACGTGCTTTCGAGAATGTTGTGCCGGTCATCGTTGTTGATGAAAAATTGTGAAAAAGGCAAACGTCGGTTGGAAAAATAGTGTGGAGAAACACGTGGGATTTAGTGATTACAAACGGGATGTATGTGTATATGTTGTAAAGAAGTAAGTGATATTACTGGGCGATGTGCAATTACTTAATCATCACCGAAGGGATAAGGATAACAGAGTCGATTGATGGTGCATGAGTTGAGAGTCCCCTAATGCAAATTGGAGTAATAGGAATAGCTGGTTGAGTAAAAAGGAGACGGAATCGACAAGAGAGAGGATAAAAGGAGAAAGCAAAGATAAATACATACATAAATAAATAAATAAATAAATAAATAAATAAATAAATAAATAAATAAAAGAGTAAAAGGGTGAAAAAAGTTGAAAGTATCGTGTGGTCGAGGTATCGGCCGAACAGGAGACGTCGTGGAGGGGGGAGTGATGCCGGTGAGGGTGGCACAGCGCCCCCCAAGTGGTTTACTCCACTCCGGCCCAGTATCGGTTGTAGCAAGTACAGGACCGAATAATCAAATATCCTCGGGTCGTTGCCTCGGGGGCCCCAGTGGCTCCCCACCACTGGCGCCGGCACTAAGCCAACTTGCCGGCAGCAATACCAATAGTTTGAATAGTTTGAATAACAATAATCATCTGAATAATAATCAAAATCAATCAATAACAACGACAAGCGCCCCAAATCCATTGCAGGCAATGGCATCAGCTGCTGCATCACTAACGCAACTTAATAATATGGCAAATGGTCCACTGCCACCACTGAACAGTGGCCAGACTGGTCCATCATTACCACCACCTCAGCCAGCAACAACGCCAACTCATGGTGGACCACCAACACCACATGGTGCACCAACACCACACATAACAGGTCCAGGACCTCATCTCAATGGGGCATCACCGAGTCCACATCCAATGCCACCGCATGCTATGATGAGTGGCTCACCTCATGCTCCACATCCTCACATGGGTGGTGGTGGTCCATCACCCCATCCACATCATCCAGGTCCACATATGGTTGGATCACCCCATCATCCTGGACCTCATATGGCACCCGGCATGATGGCACCAACCATGCAACCTCAACCTGGACCTGGTATGTGTCCACCTAATAGTGGTCCACCAATGCCACCGCATCCACATTCTCAAGGATCTGGTGTACCTGGACAACCACACATGCACAATGATCCCTTTTATTGTTCACCCTTTGGAACACCCTATTACAGGTAAAATTTCGTCACAATCCCTGATTATTTTAATGTGTACTTGCGAGGTACAATTTATTAGCTCCGTACTCTCATTATTCTCATCCCTTCTCATACTCCTAAATCATTCACATCTCATTATTTAATCTTTATCTCTTCTCGTGTTGTTCGCCAACGCATCAACATCTGCTTTTATTTTCTACCGTTCTTTGCTAAGTTTGCGATGACCTCGGGACGCGAATACAATCGGAAGTTGCCAAGTTGGAGGTCCCCAGTAATGTTCTTATCTTATCGTTGTTGTATACTTTTGCACTAGGATAAAGCAGGCCTTCATCGTCGCCCTCTCATTGTAAATTGCGAGAATTGCCAATGGTGCTTGAATTGAAATTAGGATAGTAACGAGTAATTTATCGTTTTACCTTGGTCATTGATAATTACACTCGGGGTTCGTATCGTGGACGATCGTAAAATTCATAGTGAACGCTCTTGAACTACTATTGCCCAGGTATAATTCAGGTAGTTGAAGTACTGGGGTTGTAGGTGAAAGAATCTGGGTTGCCGTGGTTAACCTGAGGTACTGTCAATGAACGAGGGATAGAGAATGAATAATCCTTGTTGTTCAAGTGTATCTCTTCTGAGTCATTATATTACTGGGAAAAACGTTGCGAAGCAGGTGTGCCAAGGGACAGGTGTAATGCGACAAACCTTGATGTTTATATTTTAAAACCACCGCCAAAAATGAAAATGCACTATTAATACAGTCCATTTCATCACTATAAGCCGTAAGGAATTTTTCTAGAGATTGTGAGTTTACACTAAACTTGACAGTCCGAGGGGCAACCGGAAACCGAGAAATGTAATATTAATGTAATATTAATGTAATATTAATGTAATTGTCCATCACAATCGTCAGAAAAGTTCTTCTCGTGCCGAATGATGAATAATATTTTTGGTTGATACTCCAAATTATTCTGATTAACATTCACAAGCTGTGATGAGAGTTGAATAATTTTTTTTTCTGGGGTTCTCCAAAAAATAATAAGAGAATAGCGCATCGTCTGATTTCTACTTGTAGCTCGGTCACAGCGAGTATGACACCTGGTGTATAAGACACGTTGAGTTTGGCCACATTGGTCTGGGGTAGACCGAGGATGTGCGCGCGCTCGTATTGCTCGTGGTCGAAGTGCATTCTCCGGGAGTCAGTCTCAGATATGTACAACACCAACTCAGCTCATAAGACCTTGAAACTTTTAACGTGCCATTCCACAAACTCGAGAATCAACCGATTTTCCATTTCAATTTTTCCCATCATAGAATTCCCACAGGATTCATCACGTGGCAATCGATTCCAAGTCATAATCACGGCTGTTAATTAAATTGCCTTAATTTCCCCGTTGACTCCTCCAATTCACTTCCATTAAATGAATTTCCATTCGATTCCAATTCTTCTCTCTGCGACTTGCTGTACAACTCCATTAACAATTTACCCTGACATCACCTGAAGCACAAAATAATCAAGTGTAAAAATTTTACTGTATCAATTGCATTATTAATTGATATCGATTCCACAATTCAGTCTTTCTGAAAACATGACAGACGTACTGAGTCATTCATAATTTATCAGCGATAAGATGAAATCTCTAATTGATATAAATTTAGCAAGCATATGGAATATCCAGAGTGTTTTAGCCCCCACCGTTGGTGATTCCCAGGATTGTTAACCATGTCTTATCAGGAATCTACGATAACCACGTCTGAGCTATCATCATTTCGAAGATACGAGATATCGAGTTATCTATTTGACTCAGTGCAGCTCAATGTGTTAAATAATACCGATGACATTGGTCACCCATAGACACCAATACCGATATTTTCATTCTGCTGCAATCAATGCATCAAATATGATGTCCATAAATATTGAAATTAGTGATGCACGTCTGAATGCAGGAGCACGTTACCTCGCCAAGACTCACTATATTCCATGTAGTCGAAACTACCTGCGTATACACTGTGCCAGCACAACCCAGTGGTTCTCAACGAATCCCAATCCCGAGATGTCATCAGCTCATAAAATTCTCAATTCCTATTAATTCCACTCGGTTCATTCGATTTTCCGCAAACAACATTCACGACGAAAAACAAAAAAGAAAAAAAAATTCTTATTTTTCCCCACCGGTGGTAATTCTCCAGTGACACGAGTGACGAAACACTCAATTACTCAATTATTCAATTATTTTTTGCATAATCAGCTGGGATCATTCAGAGAGAGAAAAAAAAATAATTATTATCGTGGTGGGGGAAAGCCTTGAAAATCACTGGCTCTTGGTAATGTGGAAATATCTGGTGTCTTGGGGCTTGTGTTTTATTCGGCATTGAGGCAGATATACAGCATTGGACACCTATTAATACAGTGTGATGAGGAATCGTTGGGATATGATGTATGAATAAAATGAGAACCACAATCCATTCGCTAGGGAAGCAGTTCGTTGGCGTTGTTGGGCCTCTGGGTCCGTCTCCTCAAGGCCGCCTCCTCGAATCCACCTCGGTTCCCCTCTTTTCCTCTCTTTTTCTCACTCACTTACACACACTGTCTGTCTCTTTTATTCTCATTCTCTTCCTGCCCTCGTGGTGGATATACTGCCATCTCTATACCTTTTTCTCTCTCTCTTCTCTCTCTTCCTTCTCTCTCTGTCTTTTTTATTCTTCTTTTTTCCTCTGGTGCCTTCCAAGCACCTTTGCCGCCTCCACCAGCTCACCTCTAGTTCGGATGCTTCACCTCTTCTCGACGTTGTGAGAAATTGTAGCCAAGATCAATCTCATCGCCAGATAGTGTCTTTGAATTGACACTCAAACTGTTGACCATTTTTATTTAGTCATTCGTCTAGTTTATTGGCGAGTGGTTAACTGTGATGTTATTGCAATTGAAATTTTTCGTAATTAATCAGTGACGTGGGAGTTGGAGAGAATTATTTCTTGATTTGTTTTTTGATTAATTAATAATTTAATTAATTCAGGGAAATTATCATTTCGAAGTTCCATGCGACGTTCTAATTTTGGGATGTCATGCCAATAATTTTATTCAATTTATCTTCTTCGGTGTTTTTTGATTTATAATAATAATTGTTATTATTATTGTAATGTTATTATTATTGTAATCAAGGAAATTTAAATGAATTTAATCTATTGATTTCGTTATTAAATTTGGAATTCTAATTTGATTTCGCAGATTTACTGCTCCAACATTGAAAATTTGGCGGTAATTTTTATTGGAGATTAAACAAATTCCGAATAGTGTTAAATTATAGGAGAAATATAGAGGACAGTGACTCACTGAACTAAATCCTGTACCTCATCATCAAGTCTAGTTTTCCCCCAATTTCCGGTGAATTACTTCAACACTTGTGATTCTATATACGTCACCATATTTCAGAAACTTGGGCATTAACTAAAATTAGGATTTCAATGAATTTTACGTCGGAACACTAGTACAGTCCTGCCCCCTAATGCTATTAAAAGAAAAACGAAAAAATATCTCAATGGACTTCCGGAAAGGGATCATAATTATTGGGTGAACCAGAAAAAAGTGGAAGTAGTGGATGAATTTTTCTACATTTCACCCAATTTTTGTGGAATTTCCACCTGGAAAAACTATTTAAAAGATTACCCCAGTGTTTCAAGAAAATTTTCTTGAAAAATTTTTCAATGGGGTACGTTTGAATTTTTGGTAGCACGAAATAATGCAAGCCCTCAGGGAAGAGACTGACAAAATGTAAAAATCCAGGAACACGAATTCGATGGCAATCTGGGTGTTGTTGGACGTCGTGGCACATTGGGATCGCGACTCTCGACCCCATCTCAAATGATTTATCGTCGCTTTTTAGTGGTCGCGCGTGCCTCGATATCCCAACCTCTTTTTCTCTTACCCATGATGATTACGTGCCAGCTGACGAATTAAAAAACCTCACTGTTTATCCACAAATTTTCACGATTCTCCCTCGCCTCAAACATTTTCTTTCTACACAAGAGAAATTAAATCTGAAATTTCAATCCAAAAAACACTTGCAATTTCCAACAACTGCAAAATTTCGGGGAATTCCCGCTAGATTATTCATTAACAAATTCATTAATTACTAAAATACAGCCCTAAGATCATTTAAAAAATAATGAAAGATCTGTAAATTCCTTCAAACCTCTTATATAATAGAAAATCCGATGTGATTGCCCCCGAAATGCCAAGAAATTTTTATCATTCAGGCATTAAACCTTTATAATTAAATTTCATAAATTTCCTGAGCTGCTCAGACTGACCCGTTAATTTCCTATGATTTATCGAAGAATAATGATGCCGAGCAGAAAAATGGCTCGTCATCGAAATTTCTCCTTGTGTACATCAGTGGTTGTATTAAACTCAGATTTGGTTGTACATACACTTTATCCTCTATAATTCTTCATCTATAGTATCGTGGTATGGCTTTTCGTACAGCATTGCTTTTACTATATTTAGACCGATAAAAATACCATCCGTGCCTCCCGCATGACGGCCTCCTGGCCCGCCATTCCCGATTTAAACTACTGTATTGCCCCACGAAATCCCAAAGCAAACTGACTTAACACGGACTACATTCGATGTTTCTCGATGTAACACAAATTTCAATCCCCGAGTCTTTATTTTTTTCTCCCAGAAATCAGAAATGAAAAGTATATTCTCATGCAAATTT